TAAAGCTCCTTTTAAAGCATTCTTATAAGTCATAAGCACCTGTAATAAAAATAAAAAATACTCTAAGGATATACATCTAAAATAGGGTTATATGATACTTAATACTAGACTAGTAACATTAAATATGTGCAAGTACAGCCGAGGTAATGTTGATAAAAAAGCGTGGATAGTAGTCCACTTGTGGTTTAACTTGATATCATTCCCAAATTGAGTAAATTGTGTTAAAATAAAACCATGAATAGTAGTTTAAAAAAAGCGTGAATAGCAGCCTATGGTTTATGATTTATAAATGTAACTAATATGAAGAAATTAAAGTGCCCAGAACAAATTTTTCAAGTTGTTCACAGACACAAATTCGAGTTCCGATTAAAAATTATACAAAATTTTAGTATTCAAGTAGATATGCTAGTTTGTACTAAATTCTAGTAAATTTTATCTAGTTTTTACTAATATGAATAAATTAAACTGTCCAAAAATAAAATTGAAAGTTATTTGAAGAAAAGTAAAAAAGTCTCAAATCTATACATATTATTCCTCATATTCTTAAAGGTTCAAAGTATATTTTAAGCCCGATTTTTTTTTTTTTGGTTTTTCGAAAAGTTTACAGTGGTGTAACCCGTAACCCCTTAAGACATTTCACATTCTTCATATATTTCATTACGGTAAGAGAAGTTCCAGCAATTTGCCCTAAAGCACGATGCCACAAACTACTAGTTATATATCTTTACGTTTCAAAGGTTTCTGAACATTTTAGCATACCATAAAAATGGATGTACTTATGTATGTGTGTCTGTGGTCGGATAGAAATTTACGTCAGCGATTTCGTGAACACGGATCAACCGGTTTGAATAATTCAAAAAACATTTGATACGTATTGATAAAGAGACATGTAGATTACTACATTTTGCGTTTCAACTAAACAGTATTCGAAATTTTGATCTGCAAGTACATAAAACAATTTATACTATTTGTTAGCAAATTTTATCTAGTATATATGCATAGCTGGGCATTAACTCGTTAATCCGTTAATCGTTAATTAACGAAGTTAACATTTTGATTAACGGATTAACTTTTAAGTTAACTTTTAAAAATGTTAACGGACACGTTAACTTCCGTTAAAATGCGAGAAGTCCGTTAATCGTTAATCCAATGCCTACTATTTACCGCACGGCACAGCTTTAGCCAATGCCTTATTAAACGGCACAGAGAAAAGATTTGGACTACTACCTGAATGATGAACAGTGCCAACTTGCCGCGGCATTTCACCCAAAGTTTCGGTTAATGTGGCTGGAAACGTATGACAGCAGTAGAGAGGAAAGCAGTAAGAAAATGCACGGAAAAAAAGGTAGAAGATGCCTTATGGCAAGAAGTAGCGAAAAATTCGAAGGACAGAGATAGTTTAAGTGGCGGAGGGAGCAATGCGAGTAACAACGATGATGATGAGAAGGAAGACTTTTTCAATTCTGTCACTCAGTCTATAGAAAAACCAAAGAGCTACAAACTCTTTAAAGGCGTTAAAAGGCGTTTAAAGGCAATTAAGGCGTTGTGCCTTAAGGCAAATTGCTGGTACTTTCCGTACCTAAAATTATTATTTTTTTAAAAACGATTAACATTTTTGAAAAAAAATTACTTCGAAAAAATAAGATTTTTGAGAAACTATAAAATATTGGACAAAAAATTATTTTTTTTTTGAAAAAAAAAATGTTTTCTTTATTTTGACATATTTTCGAAGATCTGAACTTTTTTTCAAAGCAATTTTACTGCTTTAGGACTGCATAGAGACAAAATATAAAGCGCGTAAGCGCCGCGTCGCTGTCTAACGCATAAGCATTGGTACGCAACCCATAGGAATGTTAACAAACTGTATACTTATTGTTAAAATGTCTATAAAATATCTGATAATTTGATGTGCATATGTCTAATGATCATTTTTGACCGCCAAATGGCTCATTTTTTTACTTTTTTCTCCATATCTCCGAAACCGCTAGACCTACCATCATGAAAATTTTATCGATTCCTCATCTTGTCAATACAAGTGAAATGTTTTTTGAATTATTCAAATCGGACGCTCCGTTCTCTTAAAAACTGAGTTACCGTTTTCGGCACTTTTTGTCCCGTATCTTTGGAACGGCTAGACCTGCCTTCGCCAAAAACTAATCAGCACGAAATCGTCGACGAAAATTTGTATCCGCACATACATACACACACGTACATACATACATACATACCAACACACACACACACACACACATACATCCATTTTTTCTAAGGTATGCCAAAATGTTCAGAAACCTTTGAAACGTAAAGATATATAAAAATTTTCATTTTCGATTTTTTTGCGATTACTATAACTTGCCCTACGGGAAGTTAATAAGTTTTTTAAGTTCACTAACGCAACGATATAAAAATGTAATTTTACACATATTAACGGATTAACGATTAACGTTAACTTGCGTTAATTCTTCCGAAATGTAACGCTTTAACGTTTAACGAAGTTAACTTTTTTTGTAGCGGATTAACGATTAACGAAGTTAACTATTTGATTAACGGTGCCCAGCTATGTATATATGTATATATATATATATATATATATAAATATATATATATATATATATATATATAGTATATATATCTAGTATATATTTGTTTATGTTAATGTAAACAAATAAAAATGTTTGGAACATAATTTTTAAGTTATTTGACAAAATGTAAAAAAGTCCTCACATATTAGTAATTACTAAAAATTAATCAAAATATGCCAAAGGTTTTCAAATTTAGTAAAATATGTTTAAAAAAAAACATGAATGAAACCAAACATTAAAACCATGAACAGTAAGTTCATGGAATTTAGTTAAGTCCATGGTTTTAATATGGTTAATCATTATTCTGGTTTTGAATGGCAGTTTAAAGTATTCCGAATTACTGTAGAAGTTTCAAATGTTAAAAAATAATGAAATAATTGTTATTTTTTAATAATGAAAAAATTATATTTATATAACAATTATATTATGTTTCATTATTAAGAAATAACAATTATTAGAAAATTTGCACAAAATTAATATACTTGTATTTTTTTAACATTTTAACTGATCAAATATTTGATCATTATACTTTTTTACGTATCTTTCATAACTTTCTCGATATTATGGAAAGAAGTGGCTTTTGTAAAATATTGATAATGCTCATTTTTAAAGCAGGCAAATTGCTAGAACCCGTCAAACTCTTTATATTAAATTTTAAATGAATTACGAATAATTAATTAATCTAATTAGAAATGTCACTTATGATTAAAAAAAAAACAATACATACAAAGCGCATATATTAATTGCAAGAGTATAATAGGTCCATAGTTTTCCACTCAAATCAAACACATTTTTTCCTGATGTCAAAAACTCTTTTCCACTAAAATCAAATTCAAAGAAAATACTCAAAAATTTAATTTCTCGTTTGAACAATGAAAAAATGTATTTCCCTCTTTTGTTTTAAAAAGGTAAGAAAAAATAAACAAAATCTGAGCTGTTCCACTCCATTATTAATATAAACATGTATTTAATTAATTAACAATTTTAAAACAAATTTGAAAATAAACCTGTCACAACAGACATTTTCAACATGAAAACAACTGTCAACAAAATTTTGACGTTTCACGTTTGACATTTCTACAATATAATTCAATTTTGACGTTTAAAGTAAAAAAATTCATGTATTAAAGACTGTTTTGGAATTAATTCAATATCACAATGTTTTGGAAATGTTTTTAACAAATATTTGTCTAGAATTATGCCCAACAATTTTGCCAAAATATTTATGAATACATAAACATGAGCCACTTTGCCTTAAAATTAAAATATAAAACATTATTTTGTACTTACCTAAATCATATTTTCACACAAAACACACTTTAACTTTAAATCTATTTACATTTATGACTTGTAAATTTATTATTATTACAAAGACACTTGTTCAACCAAGTTCCACACAGCAATGACTGTTGATTTATTTTAAAAATATTTACAACAGAAATTAGCCATAGAGCATAGAACATATATTTATATAGACTGGTAACATAGTTTTTAGTATCAACATTTTAGCAGCAGTTTAGTTTAGTATAGTTTTCTTTCTATTTTAATTATCTGGATTGTTTTTATCAATTACATAAAATTAATGAATAAAATATCCCGGCAAAGACCAATAGAATCGAATGAGCCCTCTTTCAACCTCCGGGGTAAATATTCAATTTTTCCATATGATCCAGTCCTTCAGCAGAATGTCCTTCCAGTATTTGCCGTGGCCGAATCGGTTAGAGCGTTAGTAGATTAAAGTAGACTCTAATCCGAAGGGTGCTGGTTTGAATTCGAAGGGTGTAGATGATGTCTTTTATTTGGCAAGTTAAAGGGCAAGAGAGGAAAAAAGATCCAGAGATAGATATCTTTGAATATTTGATAAAAATAATATGGCAAAAACTTTGTTTAAAAATCCGTGGATAGATATCTTTGAATATTTGACAGGAACCAAAAGACAAAAACTTTGTTTAAAAATCCGTGGAATTTAATTTAAATTTATGAATCGGTAAGAATTTGTATAAAATCACTGCGGTGTGAAATGGCAATGGAAAATCTCTCACTGTATTCTTTCCTGAATCAAGTAAGAGTTTAACTCACATTCGGCTCACAGACTTGCCTCAGAACAAGACTATCCATACTATATATGATACATTAATAAATAATAAAATAAAAAACTTTAGTTGTTTCTATTATTTATTTCTATTGTATATGCAGTATGGATTATATATTTTTTTCAAAAAATACCTAAAAAATACTATCACAGATATATCTAAATTATTAGTTATTAAATGCATTTTTATTTACTGAGAACAGCATATAAAATCATTATTCTATACTTATAAGTAGTTATATTAGAAATTTGATTTAAAATCATTTTAAATTAAAAATTCTACTTCACACAACTCAGCGAGTACAAAAAAGAAAAAATAAATAAAATCCAATTTGATGAAATAAATATATTACAATGTATAATTGTTATTTCGGCGCCATTCCAATTCCTTTACATTCAATTATGTATCGGGAATCATTATCAATAGGTATGAAGTTTACTTCGGCCTATATTTAAAGAATTTTAAGTAATTTTTGTTATATATATATATATATATATATATATATGTAATCAACAACCAACCTTTGTCAACAAATGTGTTACATATTGTGTTGTTCGAGTATGATCAGTAATTTGATCTACTACAATCCTCGAGGTACCCTCTGCTAATGCCATAAATACAATCAATTGATCCTACAGAGACAAATAAACAAATGAGGTAATAGTTGAAAATATTAGCTAAGATATAATATAATATAATATATATATATATATATATATATATATATATAATGTTGGCAAAAGTATTACCTGCATGTGACTATCACAGCATACAGAGTTTTTAATAAGATTAATAATTTCATTTGCAGCTTCACTAGATATTTGTTCAATTTTTGAAGACTGACTGTGAAATGTCTCTGGGTGTGAATTTCTATCAAATTTACGCTTGTTATTTCTAGGATTGTCAAATATTCTAGACGTACTACATTTGACACCTTTATCAGTTATATATGTAACACTGAAATATCATAATTATTGTAAAAAAAACATTTTTTAAATTTATAATAACATTACTTACTCTAACAAAATAGTATCTGCACTATTTGGTATCATTCGGGTTTCCTTAATTCTGTCAGTTTTTATTTCTATACCTGAAGATTTCAATGATTCAAAGGTTTTTTCTATACTTTTTACTACATAGTGTGAACCCTATAAACAAAATATCATATTGTAATTATCTGAAAATGAATATTAATACTCAATATGCAAATAATACGAACTTTATCAGATTCCGGTCCTGTATAAATAACTTTAGTATTAATTTGACAGCATTTTCCTGCTTCTTCGATAACTAAAGGTTTCAAAGGTTTTTCTAATTTCTTAATATGTGCTTCAACTCTGCCACCACCTTTCGGAAAAAGCCCTCTTTGTTTAAGTACTAAATTGAGATCTATATCAAATTTCTAAAATAAATAATAATTCAAAAAATCATCAACACAAAAATTATTTAAAATATCTCTTATATCTGATCATTTCAAATTAGTATCTCACTTTCAGGTAGAAACCTAAGACATCTATAGTGTAATCAATCAATGGAGCAAATGAACAATCGGTTCCACCACCAAGAGAAAGTTGTACATCATTCTTAGCAAATAATGAAACAGGTAGTGCACTCTGAAGCATTAAAGCGATAGATCTACAAATAAAAATTCTTTCGGTGATAATGCAAAGTCTTATTGAATAGCATTTGGATAATGAGCATACCCAGCAGTTGTCAAATGCATTTTGAAAAAACCACCTTTTACAGTCTTTGGATAAAACTCAACTTCTGTAGATCCTAAATAAGCACCCTTTAGATCACCTCCACACATGTCAGCAACCAGTTTTATACCTGCATAATTAAATAGTAAAAACAAATCAAATAATAGATCGATTTAGAGATAACCAAAAAATACTGCACCATTTAAGTGCTGCTGAGCCAATCCAGGTTTTGGTCGATTTGCTCTAATGCTTATCACACGTATTGGAATACCTAAGATGGCACTGTAAGAGATAGCTAAACGCAAAATTTGGCCACCCTGAAATAAAATAATATAATAACATCTAGATTCGAGACAAATAATGAAATAATTTATATACTAACTCCTTCAAGAAAACTTCCATCAACAACTAGAGGGGCTTCCATCCTGAAAGTACATTAGAATTAATACAATAAATGAATATACAACTATAAGGTGCATTTTCAAATAAAAGCTGTTAATTAATAGTTTTCTTTTCTTTGAAATTGTTAATATGTACTATACAATTGCATAATTCAGGTATATCTTACCATGTGCAGTATAGTGATAGATTTATACTTATTTAGACTCTAATAACATTAATAAAAACAAGATTTTGTTTAAAAATATATTTTAAAATCAATACGTTTCAACTATGATCCTAGCCTACATTCAGTAGAACTATAATTAAATTTAAAAACTAAAATATATAACAAGTGAGATTAAAAAATTATAAAATGAAAAAGTACTTATACATTTTGTCTAGTGTTAAAAACAGAAAAAACATTAATCCGTGGTATGACGATATAGTAATGAACTGCACTATATGTAATATGAACACTAAACATGTTGTATTCATAACAATTTTACTAAACAATTTATGTTTCTATCTTTGAAATAGATTGTGTTAGTTCACAAATAATACAAACCTTGCATATACATACACACTTTAGTGAAAAATGTTATTTGAGTGAGATTGTGAAAAATTGTTATAAATACAAAAGGTTTAATGTTTATATTGCATAATATAATTCAAATCCATATCCATATACCAATTTTCCTGTTTTTAACACTATAATGAGAAAATTTTCCACTGAATGAAAGCTGAAATGTATGGATTTTAAAATAATTTGAAGAATTTCATGTTTTTAATTGATGCTATGTCTGATTGATACTCTCTGTTAATATATACATATGACTATATATACATATATATATATATACTCGTATATATATATATATATATATATATATATATATATATATATATATAATAAATTTGAAATATGAATGTTGATTTTCAGCCAATTGTTCAAAATAAATAATATCATTCAGCAATTTTTTGATGTTTTACAGTATCTATTATATTTTATTATTTATTGTTTTCTTTTATTTCGACAGTTGGCAGAAAATCAACATTCAAGCATATGTCTCAAAGTCAAACAAAAAAATCTAAATCTTATATATATATATATATATATATATATATAGGTATATAATAATTAGTTTTTTTTTTTCGATGATGAGACATATCTTAATATGATAATATGCTGTAATCCTTACAGCCTCGGGCTCGGTCACATAAACTATGTTCTCTGTGCAAAATATATTATATATTTCACAAATATTTTGCTATGCTCTGTTCAACAAAATAATAAAAAAAAACAAGTTGGTGTATATATGATAGTGCAAAATTATGTGCCTTGCGCTAGCTACTGATGTAAGACCATAATTATATTCACTGATGATGACATAAAATACTATGTCGAAACGTTTGGAAAAATTAAAGATTAACTTCTAAATATTTGCCTTTTATTTGATGTATGCCCTTGAAGAACTTACTCATATTTCTCAACATCAAAACTAACTTCTTTAACATATATATATATATATATATATATATATATATATATATATATATATATATATATTGATTGTTTCTTTTCCGAACAGTAAATCCAATAATAAAAAACAATTTGTTTTTTGAAGATGTTTAATACGACGTTTCGGAACTAGGTACGTTCCATCATCAGGTTTATTCTGTCAAATACAATGTTTTTTAAAATACTGATTAACATTAATTAACAATGGTCAATACAGATTAATTAGAAAAAAATTTTGTTATAAAGGAATGGATTATGTACCGGATAGATAGTAATAAGACTTAACTAAAAAAGGTTTTATATAAAATTGAGAAGCAAAAATTATTTACCTGTAATAATTTATATATCCATATCACTAATATTTTTTTGTTAAAAACACTCGATTTTTTTGGAAGATATTTGTAGATGTTACGACTACACAAGACTTAAACACACTGATATGGATTTCTGTCTGCCAGATGTTAAAAACCTTTTTTAGTTAAGTCTTATTACTATCTATCCGGTACATAATCCATTCCTTTATAACAAAATTTTTTTCTAATTAATCTGTATTGACCATTGTTAATTAATGTTAATCAGTATTTTAAAAAACATTGTATTTGACAGAATAAACCTGATGATGGAACGTACCTAGTTCCGAAACGTCGTATTAAACATCTTCAAAAAACAAATTGTTTTTTATTATTGGATTTACTGTTCGGAAAAGAAACAATCAATATATTGAAAAAATCCAGGACTTATCTATTGAATATATATATATATATATATATATATATATATATATATATATTGATTAGTTTTTAATGTTTGTCCATAATAGTTTACCTCCCGGATGGCCCTTGTTGCAACATAATATTATAGTAATATTCATTTACAAATAATTTATTTAAATTGAGAAGAATTATTTGAACTGTGCTTCTATGAATGTATCACAAATGAATAATACAATATGCTCCAATTTATATTACAACTATGATTATAATCATAGTAATCACTTCATTATAGAAATATAATCACGTATGTAAATACGTATGTGAAAAATATATAAGAATACTTTAAAATATCTCCTGCCCTGAAGATTTTGGTACTTTAAAATTTACAATATAAAAATATCAGAAATAAATTATATAAGAAACTCAACATGGCTATGTGTATACTGTAGAACCTCATTTATCCGGACCCCGGTTATATGGATTTGGATTATCTGGACTGCCAAGCGCAACCAATTTATATGTATGTACGAATTTTTACGAGATTAATGCTGCAATATAGTATATGTATGTAATGTAATCTAAGAAAATATATATGTACATACATAAGAAAGTTTCAAATTCTTAATAAACATTATTTTCGTTGATATCTATGTATGTATTTGTAACTTTTAATAAATACACTACATTATTCGTCATACATTTGATTATCCGAATTTTCGATTAACCGAATGCCTATCGACAATTAGTCCGGTTAATTGAGGTTAATTGTGCATATTTTAAAGATTGCTTGCACAAGTGGTAACTTTCGAGATTTTGAAGTTTGACTTAAAAATGTTTAAATCTATATTATATTATTTTATACTTACTTTCTAACTATCGCACAATTAATTATTTTTGAACCTTTTAGCATTAGGTTTTAAAATAACCCACGTAATGAATATTTTAAAATAACTCACGACGTTTATCTCTCGGTGTCTGTATTGATTCTGATGTCAAAAGTCAAACTGACAGCTGTCAGTTTATGGGTGACAGATTAGTAACAGTTGGGTCAGGTTCATTTTGTTAAAGTTATTATGCAGAAATATGAAAAGCTCGAGAAAATTGGAGAGGGCACTTATGGAACAGTATTCAAAGCCAAAAATAGAGAAAACCATGACATCGTAGCTCTAAAACGAGTCCGTTTAGACGACGACGATGAAGGGGTCCCTTCCTCAGCCCTAAGGGAAATTTGTTTATTGAAAGAATTGAAACATAAAAACATAGTCCGCTTATACGATGTTTTGCACAGCGATAAAAAACTAACTCTAGTCTTTGAACATTGTGATCAGGACCTTAAAAAATATTTCGATTCCTTAAATGGTGAAATCGATGCTGATGTAGTTAAATCTTTCATGTACCAACTCTTACGTGGACTAGCTTTCTGTCATAGCCACAATGTATTACACAGGGATCTAAAACCCCAAAATTTATTAATCAATAAGAATGGGGAACTAAAACTGGCTGATTTTGGTTTAGCCAGAGCTTTTGGTATCCCAGTAAAATGCTATTCGGCAGAAGTTGTAACTTTATGGTATAGACCTCCAGATGTGCTTTTTGGGGCCAAATTGTATACAACTAGTATTGATATGTGGTCTGCAGGATGTATATTTGCAGAACTTGCAAATGCTGGAAGACCTCTATTCCCCGGCTCAGATGTTGATGACCAATTAAAAAGAATATTCAAACTATTAGGTAACTATATTACACTCAGCTCGTATTGTTAAGTTTCAGACATAAACTCTTTTTCTCAAATTTACCTTTAACAAAATCAAGGCACTCCTACCGAAGACTCTTGGCCAGGTTTAACACAATTGCCTGATTACAAGCCATTTCCACTGTATCATCCAAGCATGAGCTTTGCTCAGGTTGTTCCCAAATTACCATGTAGAGGAAGGGATTTATTACAAAGGTATGGCTAATTATATGCATCAAATAAATCAATCAAACTTTAAGGAAACATAAATTTAATATTTGTTTCTGATTTATTGTTAAGATTACTTATCTGCAACCCAGCTCCAAGATTATCTGCTGAGGAAGCAATGGCTCATGCTTATTTTACGGATTTAAATCCAAGTGTGAAAAACAATGATCGATAAAATATATTTTCAATGAATGTAATTTATTTGTATTTATTCTAGTAATAATTGATTATTTTATAATAAATGTTCAAAACAACTGAATGTTTTATTGAAAATATACAACATTAATGATTTGTGCAAAACATTTATATTTGTGGTAATATTATTGAAACTCCTCTTTGAATTATTTATTTTATTTTTTTTCATGTACATCGAAGTCTAAATTTGTTATTTTTCATAATGCACATCACAGAAAACATACATAACACATTTAGAACGTATTTTACAATTTATAAGTTCATTACAATATAATTTTTATAACTTTCTCAACATTTTTGAAATATGATAAAATCATATTGTGTATATTCTAATGATAAGTATTCAAAGAGGTACTACGTTCAACATTTGAAGTGATTTTCAAATTATTTTTTTATATTAAAGCTATTACATAGTGTATAATAGTTGAAAAAAATGTGATGTTATAATGCAGTTTAACAATAAGTAAAATAAATTATTATAATAATTGGTTAAAATGTGAATATTTACATCAAATTAAAATAAATAAAATATTGGAAAAGTTATAAAAATAGTCATACAGTTTATATATAAGCCAATTTAAGGATTACTAATTTCCAAATGTACTATTGAGTTAATTGCCCTATATTTCATAGAAGAATCATCGGTTTATATATATTATATATGCATGTAAGTCCTATACCTTAAATTTTAATTTCTGCTTTTTTCAAATATCATTGAAAACAAAACTAATAATAATCTAATAGGCATATTCAAACTCTATAAGAAAATGCCTTTGAACTTTCAAATATTGTTTTATTTAATATATACTTTAATTAAATGCTATAAATATTTGTATAAATTATTATTGTTATTCTTCACAAGTAAGCAATAATAAAACTGACACTTTGCGTTATGGTTTTAGCTCTAATGGCAGGTAATTAAATATTTCTTTTGAATTCAACTAAAAACCATTTCGCAATGTGCCCTACGATCATTATATTAAATATTTTTGTTCTGAATATATAATTTCTGTGGTGGCTTCAAATTATTAGATCTCATTACTAACGTTGAATAAGCTATCAAATTATAACATTTTTTCAATACTTGCAATCGTGGAATACAAACAAAATCCTATAAATTAGGTTGACAATCATTTTATTACAAGTTTTACTGTTACCATTGCAATTTTTCGAAAATAATAAATAATTTATGCAAACAGAATACAAGACTGAAAATCTCAGAGTAAAATTTTGAAAGAAATATTTCACCAATGTCGTTTGCTGACTAGATATTAGCTAAATTTTAATGTAATCAATTATCATAAATATTCTTGATTAAAGGTAATAGATGACTATTTTATTAATAACAAAGGTTGATAGCGTACATTAGGAATATTTAATATTATGGTAAGAAGAATGTAATAAATTAGTTTGTTTTATAAATTTAATACATGGTGACAGTGAAAAGTTAAAATAGTGATCCTATCATTACATATTTATTTATATTTATATGTATTAAAACGTGAGCTCATTGTGAATATGTGTTATTAATTTAAATAGATTGCTGTACATACTTTATATATTATATTAAATTATACTAAAACTAATATAAGGAATAAATTTCCCATGTCATTTACTGTAAAATCAAACGCTTACTACAATGAATTCATACTAAACGTATTACTGAGCAAATTTATATAAAAGTATCATAAAAATGTATTTTAAAATGTATAAAATAATTTTCTGACTCATTCAAATAGACTGCTCTGTAGTACAAAATAAATGCTTGAGTTAATTTATAGACATTCAATATTATACAGTAAAATGCTTCTATATTTCTTATTCTATGAATCTTAATATTTCCAAATACATATACAGTGTAAATGAATTTGAAATGCATATCTTATGTTATAAAATATTTAAAACTCGATTCAGATTGATAAATACTCAAAATGATTTCTTTATTTAGAATTTGTGATGAAGCTAATAGATATCATCTGAGACTTTGAAGCAATTGGCACAGCGTTTTATAGAAATATATTTAATAGATTTAATATTTAACAAATTGTGCTGTGTTCATGATTAAAATTAATCTTTGTGCAAGATCATTTATGCATATCGTTGAACATAATCCAAAATAGTCGAGTTGAATTCTAGGTTGAAAATAATTATAACAAATACTGTGTTTTTGTTGCAGCATTAGAGAAATGCATCACAAGATGGAATAATATATTCCAGAAACGTTTAAATTTTAAATACTTAATTTTGCCTGAATGATAAAGCCTCAAAATACCATGATCCGCTTTAGAAGAAGATATGGAATATTGAGTAAGATTCAAGACCTTATGGAAAGTGTTTTATTATAATTATTCAAAACATCAGAACATCTACATACGTATGGGTGCAAATATTGGTCAGTCAAGATGTAATTCTGATTTAAATGCAATTATAATCTCAAATAAAAAAAAACATGTCTTAATAATATTATGTTAGAATCTCACATCCATACTTCTTTTACTGTATCCACGACATATATCATACTGGATAATATATATACGCAACAAGTGACACTAGAAATACAGACTATTAATTTATCATTAGCGATAATATTCAGCATTTCAATTTTAGCGACCATTTGTACTCATATGTATCTAAACTGTGACCATGCGACTACGTTGAATTCAATAGTCTTAAAAAGAGCGATTTTTTCTATATATTATAATTTGTATATATATGTTATATATTTCTGATACTCTAGATATATATCGTTTACACAAAGGGTCCTTCTTGTCGCTATCAACTGTCGTTTATCTGAAATGTTAGTGGAACGTTGTGACATTTGAATAGGACTATAAGTGGCGTCATTTTTAATATGTGCCACTCGTGAAAAATGGGAAGAATTTTAATACAAGCCACAGCCTCGCAAATTGTTAGCGATAATGACATCTGTAACGGCATCAAATACGAATTGGATGTTATTTGTATCGGTGGCGCACGTCATGTGGCAGTAGATTTCCTTTGTTGTCGACTTATTCTTCGCCTCGAATTGGGCTTGGATGTAGGCGGCCGCCTCGCCGTACTCTTGAGCGCCTGAGGATAAAAAATCAACAATCAATCGTAAAAGAACTACATTTAAAATTGAAATAAGGTAACGTTGTCAAATACTTGATTAATCAATACCAAAATTGAATTAACTTATCATATAAATATAATGTTTTTGTTGCTTATTAACTTCCCGTAGGGTAAGTTATAGTAATTGCAAAAAAATCGAAATATCGTTTCTGAATATTTTGGCACACCTTAGAAAAAATGGATGTATGTGGGTGTGTGTGTGTGCGGATACAAATTTTCGTCGACGATTTCGAGAACACCGATCAACCGATTTGAAAAATTTTGAAAATATTTGATTCATATTGATAATGAGACGTGCTGATTAGTTTTTGGCGAAGGCAGGTCTAGCCGTTCCGAAGATACGAAATGAAAATACGATGAAAAAGTGCCAAAAAGGATAACTCACTTAGGAGAACGGAGCGTCCGATTTTAATAATTCAAAAAACATTTTAGTTGTAATGACAAAATGAACAACTGATGAAATTTTCATAAAGGCAGCTCCAGCGGTTATGGACTCTCAAGAAAAATAAGTTAAAAAAATTTTATTTGGCGATCAAAAATGTTTATTGGACATATGTACATCAAACCATCAGATATTTTATAGGGATTTTAATGTGTACACATTTCATGTAATTTTTTTTTGGGTTCCGTACCAAGATTTTTAATTACGGTACAGAAAGTTCCAGCAATTTGCCTTAAGGCACGATGTCATGCACGCCACTAGTTTTATGAAACCAATAGAACTACTTTACACATTACAACTAAACGTTGAGCAAAAGTTTTTATTTATTTTATTATAAAACTATCAAGTATTTTACCTTCTTATAATTCTGATTAAATGCGATAACTTTTATTGAAACTAGCCTACACACTATAGTATATTTTTTTAAAGAAAGACCTATTAAAAGCGACCCACTTTGAAAATGTTAAAATCATTGCTTAGCAATAAGTCTTAATTCTTGAAAACTTGGGGCTCTTGTGTTATTATTTTTGACTCTAGTCCTAGAAATGTTATTTAAGAACACGGATCGAAAGTTTAACTAAATAAAAATATTTAAAATTAACCACAGTACCCGAAAAAATTGTCATAGTTTCACAAAAGCTCTAGGATGCACTCAAAAGCCCATAATTATCAAACAAGGAATAATTTTTTTTTAATTTTCTTCACCATAGTTATGATGATCAAAACTATCACTTTTGGCATTCTTTAAAATTATCATCATATTAGATTAATTATCAAAATAAATAAAATGTTTAATAAATTTCAATATCATATTCACAAGTATAGTTTACTTAAAACACATATTTATATAAGAAGCGATTCAAATTTTAAATCTTGTGTTACATAATGGTCGGGACATGAGTTAATTTTTTTTTAAACATGGATTATTGACAATTAATAAGCAATTAATTATAATTATAGAACATTTTAAGAATACTCATATATTAAAACAAACTTCAATTATTGATAATTGATAGACAAAATTATGCCATCATGTTTATTTTGAAATTTACTACCTTTTCATTATTATATAACAATAACTTTATTATTGTGTACTGTTAATTATATTAGATGAAATTAATTTGATATAATTTTTAATATGGCTTTTTTATTTCAAGGTAACCAAACTTTATTTGAGAATTGATAAAAAAAATTATGCCATCATATGTCACATATGATATGTGTGAATTAGGGTGCAAGTTAAAATTCACTACCTTTTCATTTTTATGTACCAATAACTTCATTACTGTGTACCGTCAATTAAATTAATTAGATATAATTTTAAATGTGCTTTCTCAATTTCAAAATAATCGAATTTTATTTCATGAATCATATATAAATTTTACATCTAGAAGTTTAAGTTATATTTCTGATGAAACAGCAACTTTTTTACGTACCTGCATATTCTGGGAAGCATATGGTCAGAGGACTTTTGCGAATTTTCTCTTCAAAAAGATCCTTCTTGTTCAAGAATAAAATGATAGAGGTGTCGGTGAACCATTTGTTGTTGCAAATAGAATCAAACAGTTTCAAACTCTCTTGCATTCGATTCTGTAAATTGACAAAATTATAATAGGAAAGATGGAATTAATTCTAAATATTTAAGTAATTATGAAATATTAAATAAATATGAAATAGATATTAAATGTTATATTAGTTTTATCTTTCAATAATGATAGCATGCACATATATACATACATTTTGATAGTATTTTGAACCTCAATAAAATTTGAATTAAAATAATTAACTTCATGCTATTTGCATATTATATTGCTAAATTAATCAACGAATATTATGGTCGAATTTCAGCAAACATTAATGAATATGAATATATAATGAATAAATAATTACCGTTGTTTCATCTTCATGTAATACTTGATCATATTCTGACATAGCAACACAGAAAATAATTGCAGTAACATCTTCAAAGCAATGGATCCATTTCTTTCTTTCTGAACGCTGACCTCCCACATCGAATAGTCTGGAAAATTAAGGTAATTTGTAGAATATCTTAAAATAATATTTAAAAAATTAATAACAAATATATTTAATTGCAGATTTGCTTTAATATCGAATTAAACAACAATAATTTAATATACAATATTGATACAAACACTCCCACGCGCTTCATTATTATTAAGAGTTGTAAGATAACGTCTGCTAGGTAAACTTAACAATTCTTTTTATTCACATATGAATTACAATATATGTCATTATCATATGATTAAATTCTTGTTTCATTTAACAGATCACCCCAATGGTTGTCCTTTGCAGTTATGATATATTTAATCACACTTAATTTGTATGATTTTTTGCTGCAATACTCGAAAGGGCTTTTTTCATTTGAGACATATTCTGATCTATACTTTTAATTGGAAAAAAGACTTTACTAGTCCTTGATATTAGTGATTTGAATCTCAAATCTTGGGGATGCAAAGTCAAAGCTCTTTCCACAAAATAAGTAATTCAGTAACATACTTTACAAAAACATGTAATAGTATTGATTAAAGAAATACTTACTTGAAATTAAGATTCTTGAAAGAAAAGTGGACCTCGACAATACCAGTAGTTTTAACACGCGTACGTAGAATATCCTGCTCCGTAGGTTGGTAATCCCTGGCACCTAGTCGGTCTAAATCGTCTAAGAAACTGTAATAATAAATATAATAAACTGTAGTTTTTCGAAAATATTAAAACAAAATTATCAACTACTAATCAAGAAACTGGTTAAAATTTTATCATCAGAAATGATATAATATTTTTAGAATTCTATATATCAGCATTGGAATATATCGTGTCACAAAATACTTGAAACATAAAATGGGTGGTACCATCAGATACGACCGAGTATCATATGGAAAATTATTTTATAGCTTGTTCTGTCGGAATTCTGAAGTTTTCAAGAAAATTGATGCGGCAAAATTGTTACAAATTGAAAAGGTAAGCAGGAGTCGATTTAAATTGAAAATTAATAGACAAATAAATATATATTTATAATGCTTATAAGATTAAATTGTATCTTGATAGCTATAAAAAAAATTCATCAGATATTTTCCCAAAAATATTTATTAAAATGTCCAATTACAAAAAAAATAATTATAGATTTCTTTTATTGTTACAACAGCAATCAGAACTCTTACTTTAACTGTAGAATGTTTTATAGAATTCAATAATATTTATAAATATACTAATCAAGCTATTATTTATCAATTAATTTATTTTAAGTAATACTAAATTATGCATTGAATTAGATAATTTTGATGATGCACAAACTCTATAGCAATATCTATTATGAAACAATTTTGGTCTCCTGAAAATGTTACAATATAAATCTAACGAAGTCAAAATGTAAAAGTAAAATATAAATAAAAAAGTATATTGAAAATATGACCAATTAGAAAATATATAAAAATTGAAATATTTAATTAATTAATTTTTTGCATAACAATCTTGCAAATGCCATATTTTTTATTATTTACTTATTACATTGTGAGCTTTATTGAAACCTATCTCTATGCGCAAAAATAGATTGTCATACCATTAAAATTTGAATACAAAAAGCATAAAAAATAAGTGAATAGTATAAAAATTCCACTAAAAAATTATGTCTCCGCGTCGTAACCAAAATGCTGGTTTTATGACTTCGTACATAAGCTAGACTGATTATATTTGTTACAACAATAAAATGAAGAGACATAATTAATTTGCATTTCATATTTTACTAAAAATAAAATAGAACGCAAAATAATGAAGCGCATAAAATCTGTGCTGAAACGAGCGATTATTATACGGTGGAGCGATCCTGTACTTATATAAGTTAATGTTACGCAATCTATAAATGTATAAATACAAGCTCGAAACATAAATTGATGAAATAAATTAATTATGTCTGTAATTAAACACGCAATTAATTTTTATAACTGCAGCTTATAAGGAGATTTATATTATTTGTAGCATAATTTTTAAAGTATTTGTGAACAAATGTTATTTTCAAAATTATAACTATAACCAATAAATTTCATATTTGAGTTGCACGTATGTTGCAAACGTTAACATGCTCCAAATACCTTCCTCTGTAGGTTTGTATTTTATTATGTAACTAATATTTTGTTTTTATTTTTGCCTCTAGTACATTTAAATATTGCAACATTAAATTCTCAAGTTTCCTTTTAATGAGAACAAGCTAATACTGTAGTAATTTATTTTCACTTTTCTTTAGTAACATACTTTATCATCAGTGAAAACATATGTGTGTTAAAATTTAATGTTGATAAAGGATAAATAAATTAGATAAATATGACAAAAATAAATTATATATAATGAAAATATGAAAATATTTTTATAATATCATGAAATAAATCATGTATCTATGAAAGATTTTTTTTAGAAATTAGTATTTGAGATCTATAATCTCGAGTGAAAATCAGACATCAATATTGAATAATAAAGTTCTCAAGGTAGAAGTTAAATCCGGAACCAGTGGTTGCTAGACTCACTAAAATATGTATCCCAATAAATAATTTTTTCATCGTAAATTAGATGTAGATTTACCACCTCGTCTTTTTATTACACATAATAATTTTCATACAATTTAGTTCCACACATCAACATGACCGACAGAGTGAAATTATTCAGTGCGTTGCTCATTTACGTTAAAATATACAAACAATGTACTGAAACAAAAGATTAATGGTCTGTAAAGGAATTCATTGTGCAGTACTAATAAAACTGCCGAAAAAACAATGTAAAAAGGTTCACCAGTCCATATCAATAACAGATTATATAATTCAGCATTTCGCGAATGCCTTCAAGCGAACCGGTTCAGCACGTAAATCATAATAAACGCGTTTAGCCAATATGGTATGGAACTATCCTCAATTGCTAGATATTGCCTTATAATAAGAAAAATTCCCATAAACAGGAAGCCGATAGTCGATTTCAAATCGTATTGTTGAGGTAGGTTGACCGAAACGAGTTATAAAATTTCTACATGACACAACTCGGAATTAAGTTATTAATTTATAAGTCTCTCGTTAGAATTCTTAACATTTCAACATTTGTGAATTTATAAATTCTTTGTCAAAGATCATAAGCAGCCAATGTTAAATACAACTTCTATAGAAATTAATATTTAATGCTTGCGATTCGGGCAAGGATCTTGACAAAGGCATTTCTGAGATCACAATTGTTATGTAAGTATTGACATTATTTAATATCCGTACATTCCAATTCAAAGAGAAATTCGTAAATTCATTATCTACAAATATTATATACCATTTTACGTGCACTTTGACACCTGATCGAATATTAATGAAACCTTACTAATATTTACGAATTTTATAATTTACTATATGCAATGAATTTACAAGTAATACCTCCTCCTAATTAAATAATATAATAATAACTAGGAAAAATTTATTGCATGGTTTTAAAAAAACATTCTCTAAATAATACAAAATCATAAAAATCGTTTCCTTTTAAACAAAATTATTAGCTGTGTCTATTCGTTTGCTGTGTCTTTTCTGAAGCCATTTAAAAAACAAAATAATAACTTTTATTTTTCATCAATATTTTAATGTGTTTGATAGCACGTGAAGTGCAGAAAATGTATTGACAACTTTATAATTGTTTTTCTTTTGTAACAAAAAAGCAATTTGAAACGAAAATTATCTGAATTAATTTTCAGGCAGTAAATAGATATCTCATAATGTCTTTAATATTGATGCTGAAAGATCTTTAAAACTGAAAATTTATCTATGAGATACATCATTAATATATATTAAATACAGTGACAAGCGCCACTCATTAGGAAGTGATTCATAGAACAACTTGTAAAAGTAAATGTTTCACTAATGAACCATAACGAAAGGCAAAGGGAATTCCTTACAAAGTGAAGACTAAATACCTGTGAAAATTTGTTATTTCTCATAAAAGGTACTGATAAATATTCACAAGGTTATTTAATAAATGATATACATAATATATTTTTATTGTGAGGATTTTACTATACGTGCCACTGTCTCTGTCAAATATAGAAGACAATTACATCAAAATCAAAAATATGTTACTGCATATCAAGTTATGTCTATACAAAATAATATTCACTGTTCTTGTAACATTGTGTTCAAGCCAAAAAAATATACATAAAATTATTAAAAATATGTAACACTGTATACGTTTTCATATAATATGAATAGCATAATATGAACGCATCTATATGAAGAGCAATCAGAGTCTATCATTCAATGATATGCCGTAATAATTAATTTGCTCTACGGTTATTTTTTACTTAAGGTTATTTAAAAGCTACTCAATAGATTCTTATATACTATTTTTATTACAGTTATATTAAAAGGCAACCCAATGATTGTTCCATTCCAATTATGTTATTTTGCAAGCATGCCCAGAAAGGATATATTCACTTGGAAACATATTTTTGATCTACATTTTCAAGTAAAAATGGATATCACTTGTACTCTAAACTTTATATTATAAAGGACGAGCCTATACCATGTATTACTTAAACGTAAGATCTTTTTTTTTTATTTCGCCATACAATTTACAACTGTTCTTAATGGACATCTAGTAAATCTAATAAAAATATAATGAGTTAAATGCCATATGACAACGCGTATATATGCGTAGAAACAAATTATAGAAGCGCGTGGGCGCCGCGTCGCAGTATAACGGATAAACATTGGTACAGAACGCAAAGAAAATAGAACAAAATTTGTTCTTATTAGTAAAATATATATAAAACGTGTGATAATTTGATGTGTATATATCTAATGATCATTTTTGTCCGCCAAATCACATTTTTTTTTTACATTTTTTATTGGGTCTCCAAAACCGCCGGACCTGCCTTACCAAAAATTTCATCAGTTCTTCATTTCGTCAATACAATAAAATATTTTTTAAATCATACAAATCGGACGCTCTGTTCTCTCAAAAAATCAATTACCATTTTTGGCACTTTTTGATCCGTATCTTTGAAACGGCTCGACCTGCCTTTGCCAAAAACTAATCAGCACGTCTCCTTGTAAATACAAATCGAATGTTTTTTAAATTATTCGAATCGGTTGACCCGTGTTCCCGAAATCGTCGAAGAAAAATTTGTATCCGCACACATACATCAATTTCTTCTAAAGTAGGCTAAAATGTTCAAAAGAACTTAAAACGTAAAGATATGCAAAAAAACATATTTTAGATTTTTTTTGCGATTACTGTAACTTACCCTACTAAAAATTAATTACCCTACGTGAAGTTAAAAATACAGCTCTATACCTTATAAAAAATATTTTTTTCTAATTGCTATTTAAATATTGTTAAAAAAATTAAAATTAACACTGATTGATGCATTGATGCTTGTGGTATATGTCTTTTATAAATGAGTACAAATCACTTACAGTGTCTCCCAGAACCCGTACTAATATCTAAATATCGTAATATCTCTACAAATCGGGATGACTGTTGCACGCAGCCGCCGAACCAGACATTTTGACCCAGTGCCGTTCATTTCCTGAAACTCGAGATTTGCGAATGCAGGTCACGGTTTACTTTCACCGACAAAGCGATACGTTCGGACATATCCAACTACACCTATGAAATCTATTTATTTATTTATTCTATTTAGCTCGTGGATAGGTGCA